GGCAGGCATGGCACGGTGCTGTGGAGGGTGAGGTGTGCAGCAGAGAAAACTGTACCAAACATGGGGTCACTGTATATCTGATCCTACCACTGTGGGGATGAGCGGGACACCATCTACAGTCCCAAACTTGGGCAAACAGAAAGTACACTCAGGTCTCGGGTCACAGGCAGTAATGCCGCAGACCATACCCATGGGACCCGGGGCCCGGGAGAGCAGGGAGGGAGACTGAGGAGCCGGCCCATCAGCCCCCGCCTGCCCAGCACACCAGAGCCTGCTTTGGGCTGCGTGGACAAGGATTGCTGCTTTCCCTATCTCTTGGAAGACTAGGCACTGGCTTCCCCAGGCGACAGCACCTGTGCTGGGCTCAGGGTCTGCATCCTCCCCCTACCTCCTGGGTATCCACATGGAGAGGCCTGAGCCTAGCTGAGCTCCCAGGTGAGTATGGCTGAAAAAAGATGGCAATGCTGGGAGGTGGGGGTGGAACAAGAGCCAAATGATGGGTGTCCAAGCAGCCAGGAAGGAGTCGTTGAAGAGACATAATGAGGAGTGCTGGCAGGATGTGGGACAGGGCAGGTGTGCTGCACAGTGGGGCGGGCCCTGGAAACAGCGGGCAGCTCCTCCACAGGCTTTCCAAGGAGTCACCAAGCAGCCACAGCGCCCCTCCAGGCACATGCCCAGGAGAAAGAAAACGCACGTCCGTGCAGAAACCTGGGCATGAATGCTCATGGCAGCACTACTGCTGATGGCCAAGGCGGAGCAGGCCAGGCGCCCATCCTGGATGGGAGATCAGACTGGTGTGCCCAAGAGAAGATGAGTGCTCATCGAGAGCCAGGAATGTGGCTCTCACATAGGCCAGCACCGAGAACATGCTGGTGAAAGAAATCAGATGCAAAAGGCCACATGAGTGACTCCATGTGGGAAATGTCCTAGAGATGGGCAGGAGATGGTGGTTGCCAGGGGCTGGGGTTCGGGGAGATGGAGAGAATGGGGAGAGGGACAGCTAAGGCTACTGAGTTTCTTTTTCTGGTACAAGAAATGTCCTAATATTGGCTGGTGAGAGATGCACAACTCTGTGGGTACAGGAAAGCACTGGCCGAATACGGACATGCTGGAGTGTATGGCGTGTGACGGCCATCTCAGTGAAGCCATCACCAAACAGAAGTCCTTGAAGAAGCAGGGACCCAGATGTCAGAGGCCCTCTGGCACACGTCCCAGTGCACCCACCAAGCCTGCTGTGCTGGGCAGAGCTGGGAGAAGGCTGAGAACAGCGAGCGGTGGAAGTGAGAAAGCCCCACAGCAGCAGGAGAGCTGTGGCATTCGGGGAGTTTTCGGGGTGGGGCTACAACTAGGGCAAGAAGGACAATACTGATGGTGGAGGGAAGAGAGGGACCGTGCCCCGGTGCTGCCCACCCTGCTCAGCCCAGGGAGCAGCTCACAGATACCTGCTGCCTGCAAGGTCCTGAGAGGCCTGCAGCCTCCTTAGCGATCCTCAGCAGAGCCCAGTTGCACAACCGGTCTGCAACCCCTGGGTAGAGGGCTGCGCAGGGGGTTGACCAAGCAAAAAGGGAAATCAGCTCAAAGCTGACATTTAGCACTGAGTAAGTAGCAGGACAAAGTCCTTACAGGCAGACACCCGAAAGCAGGCTGTGCTCTCAAAATTCTGCCTGGCTAGGTCTCCTTCCCAAGAAACAGCCTTACCATGTAAGGGTGGGACAGCTCCGAAACCTCAGCTGTGAAACTTCCCCTCTCGGTTCACTCCTAGCCAAAATGTAAAGAGCCTGAAGCTAGAAACCTCACTTGTCAAAATCCAACCATCCCAAGGAAAACAATTTGGTACGTGGCCCTGCCACCACCTTCCAGGCAGGCGGGAGTCCCTCTGTGGTTACAGAACAGCCATGGGGCTCTCTGTGAGCCTGGAAAAGACCCAGGCACCCCCAGCCATGTCTAGAACCCCAGGCAGGGAGTTGGCCACGCAGGTTTGGGAAGGGCCACAGCTAGGGCAGAGGTCACCGGAAGGAAGGCCCGGGAGATTCGGTGAGTGGTTAACTGGTCACGGCTATGTTCGTAATAATACAATGCAGTGACTTCCCTTTCCCCTCCCACCCTCTCTTGAGTGAACCGTGGCTTTCCAGGGGGTGTCTGAGGTGCAATGACGTCCTCACAGCTAATGCAACTTTTTCAGCTTCAACTTTCCTGTTCTTACCTATTGATATATGGTAAATATTGGTAGTTGTAACCTACATAACTAATAACTCTCTGGGGTTCTCTATAATTTTTAAGAAAGCAAGAGGCAAACATTTGAGAACCAGTGTATTGTAGTTATTTATCACACCTTCGTCTGTCACCGCAGGGTGAGGAGCAACCTGAGGGCCCTCTGGGGATATAACAGAGCCAGGAGTGCTGCCGAGATGAGAGTAGGGTGTTAGGGGGAAGACATGGTTGAAGTCTACATAGGGAAGATAATAAAACCACAAAAGCAAAAACACATCACTAGCACTGTGTACAAAAGGAAAACTGTCCTTCACAGCAGGGCACGTGTGTTTCTAACTCAGACACCTTCCTCCTCGATCCTTTACCTTCCGGGAAGAGGCAATGCTTGGCCACCAACTGGAGCTCCGTTTCCCAGATGCCGAAACTATCCAGAAAGAATCCCTCCCAGGCCTCAGCACTGTCTAGAGCAGTGGTTCTCAGCCTTCCTAAGGCCGCAACCCTTTCATACAGCTCCTCATGTTGTGGTGACCCCCAATCATAAAATTATTTTCGTTGCTACTTTATAACTGTAATCTTGCTACTGTTAATGAATCGTAATGTAAATATCTGTGTTTTCCAATTATCGTAGGGGACTCTGCTAGCGGTTCTTAACCTGTGAGTCACAGGTTGAGAACTGCTGCTGTAGAGCTTAAGACCACTGGTCTAGAGTGTGCAGGTCAGTATGGGCACGTATCATACAAAGACAGTGTCACCAAGCAGATCTGAAACCTACTACATAAACTAAGGAATCACAATCCCCTAAGAATTGGCCTCCTTCATGTCCCTGCACCTCTCTCACAAGCACCACATGGCACATGGGGGAGACTATTTAATGCCCACCCTGCTGCCACTGACGGGACGATCCCTCCCTCGGGCTGCTCCACACAGGAAGAAGCCTGTGTTACAGCCTGGCTGGTGTGGCTCAGTGGTCAACCTGTGAACTGAGAGGTCACAGTTCGGTTCCTGGTCGAGGGCGCATGCCTGGGTTGCCGGCTTGGTCCCCGGTGTGGGGCCTGCAGGAGGCAGCTGATCAGTGATTATCTCTCATCGTTGATGTTTCCATCTCCCTCTCCCTCTCCCTTCCTCTCTGAATCAATAAAAGTATACTTAAATTTAAAAAGAAACCCTGTATTACAGATACTTCTTTACTAGCCCTTCAATTCAAAGGCTCCTTGCAGAATTAACCTATGCACTGTTTCCAAAAACAAATGTTCCTTCCCGATGTAAACATAATGCAAAACTCCTTATAGCGTTTAAGAAAATGAAAATTCAAAGACAACATGTTGCTAAACATAAGTAAATTAAGTTGCCTATTTTAATGTCAACAGAGAGAAGTGTGTGTATACAGTTGAAACACAACAAAAATGCTAAAAGTCAGAATCAAAGATTACAGGGAAGAATGTCTGCGCAGCAAAATTCTTTTCTCCCCGAGACCGAAATGCCCCACCACGCTTAATTTTCCTGACATTTCTGAGGCTTTGAAGCCAGAGCTAACGGATCTGAATCATCTGAGCAAAAACCATGTTACAGTGGCATGTTACTGGAAAGCCGAGAATAGAATGCTAAATATACAGACACACACCCATACCGGGCACTTTTGAAGAAATTTATCAAACACGGCACTAGATAAAGTTGGCTGTGACAAAGTCAGAGGGAAAGCAGTCCGTCTCCAGCAGGGAAGTATAATGCTTGGGCTCCTGGAAGTTAAAATGAGAAATGCACAAAAATAGCGCCTGCCTTTTATTAATAAAATCAAACCTACCCAGGACATGCCTTAGCTCCCTGCAACACCTCTCCCACGGTTACCGGCGGGGAAAGGACGAGAGTCTAAGTCACACTGGTGTCGGGGTCCACACCACCTACTGCTCACCTAGGGAGGGGCGGGGAGGACGCCACAGGCCCATGGGCGCCATCACCTCTGTTCTTAAACAAGCTCGCCCCTCCGGAGCCGCATTCTGCTTTATTTGGGTTGGCAGTTTAAGGACCAACAGCTGAGACACCGAACTAGGTCAGCCCTGGCCTGCCTCCGAGCTCCCTCATCCCAGGGGCAGCAGGGGCCTGGGAGGGAGGCCCCTGGAAGGTGAAGGCCCTGTGCAGGCAGCATCCCTTTCTAGCCACCAGGAGCTCCTCAGCATCCTCCTTAGAGCTGCAGCTCAGTGGGCAGGGCTCTCACCAGCAGCCCCCTGTCTGGGAACTAGAGAGACACTAAGTTACGGGGTGAGAGGAGGTGCGGGCACCCGGGGGCTGTCCGTGACAGACAGGGAGACAGGCAGGCTGGCCAGGGGCCAGGGCCACGGAGGGTCAGCCGTCAGAGGCCACAAGTCAGGGGCTGCGGTTTGTGGATCAGAGTTCAGAGTTAAGGTTTTGGGGTCAAGATTCTGGGGCCGGGGGTTGGCGCCAGGTTAGGAGTTTGAGGTTCCTGGGTCAGGGTTGGGGGACCTTGGGCGAGGAGGAAGACTGGGGTTCAGGGACCTGGGTTCAGGGGTTGAGGCTCAGCCTGTGGAGTTTGGAGGCTGGGTCTGCGGGGCTAGGAGTCCAGGGTTCCGGGCAGAGCTCAGGGCGCTTGGGGTCTGGGGTTGAGGGTGGCAGGATGGTACCGGCAGGGTTCAGGGCTCAAGTTCCAGGGCTCAGGATCCGGGTCCGGGTCCCAGGGTCCCAGGGCCAGGGTTCTAGGTCTCGATCCCGAGACTCAGATCCGGGTCCCGGAGTCCCGGGCTCAGGGCCGGGTCCAGCGCCGCCAAAGCACTTACGTCGTCGAAGAGCGAGCCCACGTTGGCCGTGACCAGCAGCACCGCGGTGCCCGGGGCGGCCGCCTTCCCCGCCATCGTGGCCTGGCCGGCCGGCCGGTGTCCACGGAGCGCGCGTCAGCTGCGCCGGGGGGCGGCCCCGGGGTGCATCGCGGGCTCGGCGGGTCGGGCCGGGCCTGGCTGGGGTCCGGCTGCGCGCACGCTCGCTCCGGCTGCTCCGCGGCCCGCGCCCGTCGCTCGCCGCCGGCGCCTCACCGCGGCCCGCGCGCAGCCATTAGGAGCGCCGCCACCAGAGTCCCGCAGAGCCGCCGCCGCCGAGCGCTGAGGCGAGGCCCGCTCCGGGAGGGGGCGGGGCGTGCAGGGGCGGGGCGTGCAGGGGCGGGGCGTGCGCAGAGGGCAGGGCCTGGGGAGGGGCGGGGCCTTGGGGCGGGGCGTTGCGAAGGCCTGCGCGGGCGGGGCGGGGTCTTGCGGAGGCGGGGCCTACGAGGGGCGCCCCAGCGTCAGCCTGAGCTGCATAGGCCAGTGCTCCTGTCAGTCAGCGGCCGCCCAACCCACCCAGGCTCCTGGCCCGCGCCTGGGCCGCGCGCTGACTCCGCCCTCCGCCCTGCTCTGACGTCACGGCCCGGCTTAGCGGGTGCTCCTTAAAGGGGCCGCGCGCGGTTCCCCAGCTCGGATGAGCCTCAGGCCCTGCCCTGTGTCCCACAGGTTATGGTGTGCAGTGTCTGCCCAGCTCTGCGCGTCCTGGGAGCCGGAGCACGTGGCTTCGCATCTGCTTGTCAGGCCCTCAGAAGTGGAAGAACAAGAGGTCATGCGGGGGCGGGAGGGGGGTAAAGGGGGTATGGAGTGGGGGTAAAGGCCTGGCCTGGGTGGGCAGAAGGTGCAGCTGGAGGACCCAGGTGATGCTAGGAGGCCAGCAGAGGCTGGGTGAGGCCCTATGTACCCTGCTGGTGAGGTGGGCGAGTCCCAGTGCTGGGGCACAGCCCCTGGAAAGGAGTGGGCCCCACATTTGTAAAGCTAAATGTCCTGACAGCTACACTTACAAAGTATTAATATAACAAGTAACTGCTGCCAAAAGTAACGTTCATGATACACTTTATTCTACCCATCAATATCAATTCATTTGTAATCAATACTTAAACATCACCAGCCCGCTTTCCAAATCGAGTTGCTGAATCCTTATGAGACACTAACATTCATCTCAGTTCCCACAGGGCTCATTCCAGTGCTCACAGCCATGTGTGCCAGCTGCCCAGCTGGACAGGGTGGTTTCCAGAGTTATGTGGGCACAGTGTAGGGATGGAGAGTGTCACGGAGAAGAAGCAGAGCCTCTGGCACTGGGCTCCAGCAATTCCGCGTCCAAGTAAATGGCAGTGCCCAATGGCATCAGGAGATGTGAGTGCTGTTCTATTAAAGCAGGCAGACAGACATCACCTTCCAAAGCTGGGGACCACTTTGGGCAGGCTCTGTGGGGTCCCTTCCCTCACTAGGGAAGTCACCACCTCTCCTTGTCACTGCATCTGAGGACCCTGCTTACAGCGTTCAGCACTCAGCCTAAATGCTAAAACTCATTTGACTTAGAAACCAACGTCTAATTAATTTCAGTGAATGTGGGCTTCAGATTGAATAGTGTCCCCCCAAATTCTTAGGTTAGATTGAAGCTCCAACTCCCCGGGTGGCTCTTCATGACAATGGGGCCTATGAGGAGGCGATTAAGGTTAAATAGGATCGTAAGGATGAGGCCCTTTTCCAATAGCATTAGTGTCCTTATGAGAGACCCCAGAGCACTCACTGGCCCCCCACTCCTCCCCACTCCCGAATAGAAGACAAAGGAGAGGCCATGTGAACACCCAGTGAGAAGCATGGTCTGCAAGCCAGGAAGAGCGAGCCCTCGCCTGAAACCAAACTCCGTGGGAACTTGACCTTTGACTTCTGGCCTCCAGAACATTGAGAGACACATTTCTGTTGTTTAGGCTGCCCAGTCTGTGCTGTCATGGCTGCTGGAGCCGACTGATACTGCATCTCTTGTTTGACTTTCTTACAAAGTCAGCACATGCCAAGGGTACCCTGAGTAGAAACCAAATGTAGGGGCACCAAGAATTCCTGAAATCTGTTTCCTAAGTAGTAGCATTGCCACCTCCCCTCCCCTGGGGCTGTTTTCTCCCTCACACCCTAGCATTTCCTGGCCAGGAACATGCACACCTGCACACGCATGTCTGCACATGCACTGACTCCATTACTCAGAGACTGCGCCTAAATAGCCTCATGTCTTCCTGCTGAGTCGGCAGGCCCACCAGCGTCTGACAGCTACTCTGCCCCTCCTCTGTCCTGCTATCGCCTCCCAGGTCCTGTCCTCAGCTCACACACATGCTCAGTGTCTCGGATCCTATAAAATCCTCCTTTGCCCTACACCCATCTCTTCACTCCCTTGGTTGTAAACTTTCTCCTAAGAGTCAACCTATCTTTGCCCAGCAGGCCACACCTCCAGGCTCTCAAACCCACACCCCACTGAGGCCTTCCTCACAGCTATCACTGATTCAGCCCCCATTCCCACACCCAGTCTCCCCTGACTTTCAATATGGCTGACACACCTGACTCCCTGCAGGAAATGGGGTCTGCCCTGGGGAGCACGACACTTGCCCCCTTGGCCTTCCCCCTCACGCCCCACCCCACTCAGTCTCTTTTTCTGGCTCCTGCTGGCGCCTCACCCCGCGTCCTGGGTTCCTAGGTGATCCTGGTTCCTCCTTCCTTATGTGCTCTTCCCACTGGCCACCTTCGTTGGACCCACCCTGAGACTTTCTCCTTGTGCCTCCCTGGCTGCTCCCCTGGGAAGGGCATGTCAGACCCAGCAGGCAGGAGCAGGTTCCAGATCCGCCCTCTTCCTCCCAGACACCCGCTAGCTGTCGGTGGGAGCTGTGGCCAGCTCAGGGCCATGGGCCTCGCAAATGCCCTTCCTCCATCAGACTTCCGTGCCCACCACTGCACCCCATGGGCTCCCCTCCCATCCCCATCTCACTGTGGAAACACGGCAACCTGAGAGCTGAGCCTCTGCCATGAAGAGACACTCAATATGCATCCCATGAGCCAGTGACACAGGTGATCATCACCCTGCCTGGGCTGAGGCCACCTGACTTCAGAGAGATACTGAGCGCCAACATCGCCCCTGTTAGAAGCCACGTTCACACGGTCCTGGGTGAGGTGGCTTCCTTGTGTCTGTGCCCTTCTTCACCTTTGGGATGTGGCCCTGTGTTGGTGCATTAGCTTTGCCAAAATAATAACAATAAAGGGTTTTTGCAAAGCCCTGCTTACCCGGCTGCAGGCCAGGCCTGCCCCCGCTGGCATCTGGACCCAACCCCTCAGTGTGGGAGGGCAGAGGAGGGGAGGTGGAGGCAGCCAGAGCTGTGACACGGATTCCTCAGAAGGAGCCAGCCAGCTCCAACCCAGCCTGCTCAGCCAGTACTCGCTGGGCTCCCAGGAGGAGATTGGCCCAGGTCTTTTATTAAACAACAATGTGCTGTAAATCGTTTTAAAGGGACCGTAGGTCCCTGCTTAGCTTAAGATAGTAACCAATGGCCCTGGCCAGTGTTCCTCAGTGGTTGGAGGGTCGGCCCACATACCAAAGGGTCTCAGGTTTGATTCCCAGTCAGGGGCACATACCTGGGCTGCAGGTTCCTTCTCTGGTCCCTGCTTAGTATTAGGTTGTCACTTTACAAGACTCAATTCTGTGTGAGGTGCGTCACAGTAGTCATTCCTAGTCCTCACAGCAGTAGGAGGAGGTATGTGTGTTTTAGAGATAAGAACACTGAGGCTTTGGGATTTAAAAGCTGGCCCACTTTCCACAGCCAGTAGGTACACAGCCAAGAACAGAACCCAGCCAGACTCCAAGCCCTCTGGTCATCAACAGCACAGCACAGCTTAAGCATCCCTCCATCCAGTCATTCATTCACTCATTCATTCATTCATTCATTCATTCATTCATTCTCAAGCAGCCTCTCTGAGCTGTGCAATCCTATTCTGAACACCAGGGTGGATGGTGAGTGTCCTCAGGGAACTGAGATTCCAGCAAGAGAACAGGCAAGAAACGCATGAGGCTCACTCTGATGAGGTGGCATTGCGCCCACTTCCTGGGCATTTCCTTATAAAAGTCACGTGCTCATCAGAGAACGTTTGAAAACTAGAGAGCTGCACACAGAGCAGGACAAGGAGGAGCGGCCACTCACCATGTCACCCCACGTAAGCCGCGCTGTGACTGTTCAGACGGTATGTCTGTCCAGTGTTGCTTAAACTCAATCCACGCTGGGCCCTCTGATCATGCGCTGTCCCCTTTTAGTAAACCCAGCATCATCATGCAGGTGCGTTCTGGTACAAACGAAAACTCTCCTCAAGTGGTCTGATGCCCGGGTAGCATCACCCGACCGCTACATACCCATTCACCTCGCGGGTGACACCCTGTGCTATCACGTAAGATGCTCCCAACTTTGCATGAGCAGGTCGATGGATTCAGAAAAGGCATTTGTCAAAAATGTAACATCCTTTTTGTGATTAAAAAAAGACCTCTCAAACCTCTCCGAAAACTGAAAATAAAGGGAACTTCCTGAATCTGATAGCGGGCCCTGTGACAGCTTCCCAGCTCACATCACATTTGGTGCTGACAGACAAAGCGCTCACTCACGAGTCTCGTCAGCACTAAACTGAAAGATCTGGCTGTATAATCCAGTAAAAAAGAAATGAAAGGCGTGCAGCTTGGAAAGAAAGAACCAGAACAGGTTGCTTTGGTTTCAAGCAACATGATCATCTGCACAGGAAATCCTAATGCATCTGCCTGGCTGGTGTGGCTCAGTGGTTGAGGGTTGACCTTTGAACCAGGAGGTCACAGTTGGATTCCTGGTCAGGGCACATGCCCAGGTTGTGGACTCGATCGCCAGTGTGGGGTGTGCAGGAGGCAGCTGATCGATGATTCTCTTCCATCATTGATGTTTCTATTTCTCTCCCTTCCTCTCTGAAATCAATAAAAAAAAATAAAATAAAATTTTTTTTTTAAAGAAAATCCTAAGTAATCTACAGAAAATGCTACTAAGTAA